AATTAAATTATTCAACAAATAAATTCTCATAATATTGCCAACACTGCAGCGCAGCTCAAGCGCAGTCGCTGCTTCAGGGTACCTCCTAGTCGAACAGTCTCGAATAGAGCCTTCTTACTTGTTGTTTTTGTTTTTAATAAGTTGAAATTGTTAAAGAGACGTGAAATATATTCTATTCGTATTTTTAATATTTTAAACCTCGTTAAATGCAAAACCTCTGTAATTCGTCAAAAATTTTGTTCCCTTGCTATTTCGAATTATCGAGACTCGACTGTATTTGCATAATTTGATATAATATATAATAGTATTATAATTTGTAATTTGTTGTATGTGATATACAAATTCGAGAGTTCGAGTGTGCAAGACAGATGAAAGGGATGTATGTTTTCAATTTCTGTGAAGTTTCTGAGAAATTGAGATTTTCTCAGCATCTCAGAAAAAATGTTTTTTGTTAAGTTAAATGTAACAAAACACTACGAATGAATCGACAAACGCAACTAACTCTCACCTGTCCTTCACCAACCTCGCCTGGCCTCAACAACTGTAATATTGGGTTTAAATCAAATTAAAAAGGCTGAACAACATTTTGCAATTGCATTTCATATTATTAGCTAACTTATTTCGTGATCGCACTTTATTCTGATCTCCCTATTATGTGTACCATAATATAAAATGTATATCTGTGTATGCTTGTGAAAAAATGTATTGGGTATTGAGTTTGAGGCTTAGTCAATTTTGCGAAATTTTCGCATAATAATCGCTGTAAGAATAATTCCATATACGCAGAGAATGTGTACATATCTGCGGGCTACTCTATTCCCACCTTACTATATCCTACAATTGAATAACTCGAATATTACGCGAATGTGCTGCACCCGATTGAATGTGAATTCATCTTTTCACTCGAGATAGACACAACTGACTAATGTTTCATTCAGCAAGAGTTAAATCTTCAGCATCTTGATGCCAGCGACCATGATACGATATTTTCCTAAATGCTTATTATATAAATTTATTGCAGCCGTTCACTTCGATCTAATCTTTTTACATACATAGAGATGGATATTCATGAACATTTATGCATATATTTCTATTCACAATGCCAAATAAATTTATATACTACTTGACGTCATATCGTCTGAGAACGTTTCAACGTTTCTTTGCCATTTATCAAATATCTGTAATTTTATTTTTTTCTCATTGTCGCATACAAACCAAATACATTATTAAATTTCTTAAAAAATGTCGCGCATGTCGCCTCCCATATGCGAAAGAATTATTTATATATATGCAAATGTATTTGATCATTACAATCACACGGCCGTACGAACTATTATTAGCAATCAAAAATGGACAACGAGGTCAGTATATACGTGAATACTTAGTGTGTACCATACGTATACAAATTAAAATCATGATAATTATTTTAATTCGTTCGAAATAAATTTCTTGTGCAGCCGCAGCTTTGTAGTTACAATATTAAGACATTAGTATATTATTTCAAAAAGTATTTGATAAATATTCATGTTATGAAATTCTTTATAAAATAGAAGTATTTTTTAAGCAATCTTCAAACGTCAATCTAACTTCCTACCTGAATTGTTAAAAATTTTTGATAAAAAAAAATTAGGAAAATAAAAATATCTTTGCATAAAATCATATGCATTTATCTTAAAATCATAATTTTGTGTACAATTTGAGCATATTTGGAATGTCTTACCCGTGTATCCATGACTTCGCCGGGGCGGAGTTTCTTCTGCGATATTTGTTTGTATTTGTTGAGTGGCATGTACATATACAAAGCCATATATGTGCATTTTGGTGTGGGTGTGCGTGTGTGATTGTGGTTGTGGGTGTGGGTTGGTTGAGGGCGGTGAAGATGACATTTTAAGTATTTGTTTCATGTTGTTCGGTCGCGTTGCGTTCAGATGCGGGCACAATCAAATGGACACCAATGGGATTCATTTTCATAGTAGTAAAATAATGTTTGTTTATATATTGTTGTGGTGTTGTTGTTGTTGTTAAGTGGACAGAATCATATATCGAACGTAGAGAAGAGGGCATAGGAAATATATGTATATGAGAGAATACAAATATGTATTATTTACATTGACACTTAAGAAATTATATATTACACACAATCAATCAGTTAGAGACAATACAATAAATTGCTCATAATCTAGCAGCAATTTCTTTCTTTATATATAGCTAAAAAATTACACCGCAATTTATATACACATACTTTTTTTTCTAAGCAGGAATTCTAAATAAAGCAAGTCTACCGTAAAATGATTCCATAGCTTGAGAGATTGTAAAGAAAGTACAAGAGAAGCATTATGGGCAGATGAGTAATAATTTGTAGATTTAGAGCTCAGCTTTTAAATACCCCATTATTTCAATGCAATATTAATTGTCTGATTTCAATTGGTGACATCAAGCTACAAACATATTGTCAATTGTTCAAGTATATTTATACTCAAACAAGTTTATCTCATTAGATCATTGCTTTTGGAAACTCTAGTTTTCGCTTTTCGTTGCTTTTAATTAGTTTTAATGATTAATTACCTCGTCATTAATGATAAGCGATGGCCGACGACCTGTGTCTGCTGGGGGAACTAGGGAGCCGCGTCGACTTGGAGGCTCCGGTGCTAGGGACGGACGTTTCTCCCGTATCACCTCTATCTTTGGTGGCTCACCAGGTGCTGGAGGCTGCATTTTAGGTACCTTCGGCTTGTCATCCTAAATACAAATAGATATTGATAAATAAAAGATTGTTGGTCTATAATTAATACCTTGAAAATGAATACTGGGCTTTCAATCCGTTGGACATACTCGATAAATCTGCATACATTTGGATGCAGCATAATGATTGTGAGTCTTATATATAAGAAGTGCTAAGTGGAGATGGGGGAGAGGTATACCCATGATACGAACCAAAATTACGGTCACTTTAATGGACTCTGCCATTTTTTATAATGAGTAATCCTTTCGGTATTTGGTATACTTAATCAGGTATAATAAAGTGGAAACACAATTGCTTTAAGAGTATATTGCGTTTGTATTTGACGTTGGTCTTTCCTTTCGTTGCTTCACAACATAATGTGATGAAAATTTGACTGTTTGTCATGAACGACAAGAAGAGACAGATATCAAGCATTAGGGTAGATGGGTATATGGGTATATGGTATGTTTATGAGATATATATTTTTCACAAAAGCTTTCACCACATTAATGTATAAAAATATAAATAAAATTTGTATATATTGTATAGTAAATAAGTGTATATTGAACATATTACATTCATATTTGTGTAATTTGTGTACCTCACAATATATGTTTACAGATACAGCACATAAATAGTTTCATAGTCAAAGTGAAAAACAAATATCTACATGTTGACATACATTGAAAAAAAAAGTATGCTTGGTTTACCGACAAATACAAAGTTATACATATTTATATATATATATATATATATATATATATATATAATCATTGTCATTAATAATTGTTGGAGAAAGGATTTACCTTTTGATTTGTGGCGGTTAGTTTCACTTCAGGTGGATTTCGGTCCGGGGTATTAACAACAGGAGTGAATTTCTCAGGTTTAAGTGTCTCAATATCAATACGGTCATATTTTTCTAACTGGGGCCGCTCATAATCGTCAACAATGGTTGCTATGGCTTCTGGTTTTTTCAGGTCAGATATGTGGGCTTTGGATGCTTTTGTGGGACTAAATTCTTCCGTTGCATTTGCCTTTACCAACCGTATATAGTTTTTTTTTTTTTTTAAATAGATGAGTATATAGTAATTGGAAACAAAATGACATTGTTTTGAATGTCAGCAAGGTAGATATAGGTTTAAATAGAAAGCAACAGTACGTTATTATATAGCTCCAAAATAATAAATTATTAATTATAAAATAAGTTTTCTAAGGCATTTTATTTATACAAACATTGATTGAATGTAGAAAGAGGGAATAGCTGAAGAGATTTGTGAAGAGGCAGTAATATAGTTTATATGATAGAAATAAGTAATGGGGGCGAGAGAGAAATAGATTGAGAGGAAAACAAAAAAAGAGAAAGTGAGAGAGAGACAGAGAGGGAAAAAGAAAACTACTAAGAAGTTTTACGTTAAAGAATGTTACATGGATTACTCCAGAATGAAAGAAAGAAAGACCAAGGAAAGACGACAAAGCAATTGAGTAAAAAAAAAAAAAAAACCTGTACTTTAATATGGTTTTTCTAATTTCATTAAAAAATATAAGAAGTTAATTTAAATAGCCCCAAAATTAGAGTTAAGAGGGGTTCTAACAGTAGATTACAGTGAGGTTATATATATGAATAAGATCATTAGTAAATAAAGTGCGAAAGTTTAAGAAAAATAAGTACTTGGAGCTATTAAGAATAGAATTGAAGAACTTATAAAAATTATATTGCTTTGCATAGATTCGCCACTTTTGCTCAAGACCTCGGTTTACCTTATGTAATTGCTTGGCTTGTTGGGGTGCAACCTGCTCTTTAGCATCTTTTGTTACGGGTTTCAAGACTACACCGAGGAAGGACTCGTTTCGTATGGGTTCCTTGGTCATCAAGGCTCTGACTGACGACCGACGTCGTTGCTTAATTATATCCATCAAAGATGGTTTGACAGCCTGAGATGATTTTGATTTTATTTTTAACAATAATATTTTATTTTTATTCAATAATAAAACAACTTGAAAAACATTCATCTACGCCTAGTAAGTAATGACTTTCAAATAATATATGCTCTGAAGTTAGCTAGAATCATATGCTTTAATTTAGTATGTTCTACTGAACCTATTTTTAGGGCTCTGACTGACCACTGACGTCGTTGCTTTATTATGTCCATCAAAAATGGTTTCACAGTCTGAGATGATTTTGATTTTATACTCATTCACGAAAGTGAATTAGTACATTGGTTTTGTGCAAAGGCTCTCTTGTCTGTCCGTATGAACGCAATATTTTTTCGGCGCTATTGAAGCGAGACACTTGAAATTTGGAACAATACTCGTGTGTTCAAGTTTTAAACTTTTCCCTACCCGCCTTATAATCCACTTATAATCCACTTAAACAAATCGGCTGAAAATTTTTCCTAAATGACATATTCCTTTTAAATCTATATTGCTTTGTGCAATGTCCGTCCGTCTGTCCGTACGAACGCAGTTTATTTCGCCGCTATTAAAGCTAGAGACTTTAACTTTGGAACACATACTCGGGTATAAATGCATTTTCAGATATATCAGAAATCACATTAGTTGATGAGCTAGAAAGCTGAAATTTGAAATGTAGATCCGCGTCGACTATTTTAAGATTTTGCGCCTGAGCTAATGTTATGATTCTATAAAGATTGATCAAAAATATATATGTCCGCCCACAGGGGACGTGGCAAACCGCAAAAGCTTATATCTCCTAAAGTATAAGAGCTAGAAGCTACAAATTTATCGATTCTTGGCTTCTATTGGGCTGAGATCTGAAGAACATGTTGGCCAGTCAAGGACATCCACATAACATTCCTTCAAATACTCCCTTTTACGTCTGCTCATTGCATTCTGGCATTATTCTGTTGGAAAACCATTGGTATCTCACGAGATTCTCTTAAATATGGAATGAGACTAAGCTAAGCTGTTCCCCAAATCATGACGGAGCCACCTCCAAAGTCTATCCTTGAAAAAAAAAAGCATGGGATCCTTTTTCAAATCATGCCAATAAGAAGCAATCCCATCAGGACCATCCAGATTAAACTTCTTCCCATAAGAAAATATGACCTGTTAGGCTAAAAATTTATAATTATACTAAGCCAAAAGACGATAATTCAAACGCGCTTATGTGAGATCGGTCACTGTATGTCTTTCCGCAAAATCAAGTCGAGCAGCCGACTGAGCAACACGGGTGCTTTGGCCTATTTAGACCTCTTTATGAATCCTGAGCTCTTAAGTACTCATCAAATAGTCATCGCTGATATATCTACGCTTATTGGTGGCGTGGAAAATCGGATATAACTGTATCTCCTACAGTTGTTAAGCTAGAACGTTTTGCACGTAAGCTAATGTTATGATTCTATAAAAATTAATTAAAAAGTTGTATGTCTACGCCTACTGGGGCTTGGCCAATTGGACCTGAAGATATGGTGATTTTTCATTCAATTCTCCTATATTTTGGACACTATTGATGCTATATAATTTGGTATATATACTCGGTCTGACTACCCAAGACAAAAAAGCTTCGACTGATATATTTCCGGCCACAGAGGGCACGGCCACTCCCAAAAGTGTATATCTCCTAAGGTATAAAAACTAAATTTTTAACAGTATTTCAGCCACTTTTAGCCATTAAATTGCTGATGGGATGTGAATGAGCATTCCGCAGCCCGACTGCAACGTTCTTACTTGTTATTTTTATAAACAATGGTATTTCAATAAGAACAAGTAAGAAGGCTCTAGTCCAGACTGCTGGACTAGGAGATACCCTGAACCCTCCAAGCTGATATTGTGATCATTCTGCAATTCTTTAATACAGACACACACATACATATGCATGCACCCTCGCTCTGCGAACTGCGCAGTAAGCAGCGACTGCGCTTGGGCTGCGATAGTATGAGAATTTATTTGGTGAATAACTTCTTTTGTAGACGTACAATCTTAATGAAATTTTCAGGGCGTAATTATATGGTTAAAATGTGTGTACATTCCAAAGCACAAGTCTCTAGTACTTAAATACGTCTTTTACAAATTGGGGGCGAAGGGGCGTGGTATACAAAATCTGTAAATTACAAAATGTTTATATTCATCATACGTATATACATAGTAAATCTGAAGTATCCACGTCTAATAGTATTTCAATGAGGTTCAAAATACAAAATCAATTTTTCGATTATTCTCGATAAGAAGTTATCGGATGATTTATCTTATATCTTCTGAGATCTCGGCGTTCATACGGGCAGTCGGATGGACAGACGGACCGAGCTATATCGACTCAGCTCGTCGCTCTGATCAGGAATACATATACTTTGTGGGGTCTGCCATGCCTCCTTCTGCCTGACATACATTTTAACAAAACCATATACCCTGATTTCCCATTTTCAATGGGTTACAAACTAATAAAAACGCACATTTAGTATGGCTAAAATTTCAATTCCGATGTATTTAAAAATATAAATGAAATAGAAAACTCAGTTAATTAAATATATACAAATTTTGAAACAATTAAAAAAAATCCAACCCGCTCTGGATTTGAACCCGACACTTTCTGATCGAGCGCCACGCCTATCACGATGCCACCTCACCTTTCGAATATCCAATGGCAAAACTGAAATAGATTCACTGCTGAAGTGCCATCTAGCAAATCTAAACCAAACTAACTGCTGATGTGGTTCTAAGAATGTGCTAGAAGAAGTTTGAATGTATGTGTGCACACGTATAGGAAAACATTTGTAGCTGCAGCACGTGCGTTTGTTAATTGTCGATTGAATTAACCGACTTTAATGAAACTTTCAGCATATGATCTACATATTCTATTGAATAATTGACAAATTGTAAAAAATTAAAAATCATTCAAAATTAGCTACAGTGGCATCTGCCTTGATTGATAATGTTTTTAATCGATAAAAAATATCGGGAATAGTTATCGATTTTTAAAGATAAATTCGACATCCGCGCTGTATATACGGTAATTTAAAAAAAATCAAGTGTCTAGCTCTTATATCTTCTGAAATCGACACGTTCAAACATACGGAGAGACGGACGAAAAGACGCCACGCCTCCTTCTGCCTGTTACATACATTCTGAAAAATTTATTTAGTTTTTTTCAGCCTCATTTAAACACTATCAGACCAAGAGACTTTAGATTTATTATGTATATACATATGATGAATGCAAATATTTTGTAATTTAGAGATTTTGGATATAACCCCGCTTGCCACAAATTTGTAAAAACGTATTTCAAGTACTAGAGAGTTGTGTTTTGGAATGTACACACATTTTCATCATATGATTATGCTCTGGAAGTTTCATTAAGATTGTATGTCCACAAAAGAAATTATTCAACAAATAAATTCTTATAATATTGCCACACTGCAGCGCAGCCAAAGCGCAGTCGCTGCTTGCTGCGCGGGCTTAGGCGTGTATGTGTATGTACGCATAAAAAAAGTGAAAAATAAGTAGAATATCAGTTTGAAGGTTTTAGGGCATCTCCTAGTCGAGCAGTCTGGAGCAGAAGGCTCTAGTTCTTACTTGTTTTATATTGACATATTGACAGTCGCTGTTTATTATCTGAGAATCATGATTCCTCAATCCGATTGAAGTTTCTCAAAATCTATTTACACTTACCTCCTTCGTATCATCGTTTGCTTTTGATTTGTCTTTCTAAATAGGGAGTGTGTTCATTGGGTTTTCGAAGGCCAAATTAATGGTGTAAAGGAGAATTAAATGTGATATAATATATTAACACAGATCGTGCTTATTTATAATTGATTTTTAGCACTAGCTTTGCGTCAAATTTAATAATCAGTTTTGCCCAGAATACATAAAGTTAGGAGCTTAGTATAAACAAATATGTGTTATATAGAAAATATAACTTACTTCTGGTTCGACAATCACAGGCTTAAGAGTGGCGCCATCTTTAGTATCTTCGTCATCTGGCAATTTGCCTTTACCCATTTTGAGAATATTTGGCTCCTCTGCCGGTTTTTCGATTGCTTCCGATTTCTTTGAAATAGTCACGCATAACATAAAACATAGATATTGTGTAAACATATAGAAAATTAATACATTAAAATGATGTATGTGTGAATGTGAAATTAATATTGATTAAAACAATACCTTTGGCAAGCCATTCTTTTGTAAAACTATTTCCGCTGGCTTTTTGGCAGTTTCTATTACTGGTTTCTCCATTTTATTTGGTATTTCGAGTTCCCTAGTAAAATCTGTAGGCGTAAACTCAGATTTTTCGTATTTTTCGAGTGTGGGTCTCTCGTAATCTGGGATTTCCGGCAGCTCCTCATATTTTGGTTTGGCTTTAGGTTTTGCTTTAGCTTTTGGCTTTGCAGCCTCTAGTTTATGTTCCTCCTTTGGTTGTGTAATAGATGTTTTCCGCAGCTTTGGAAACTCTTCTACCGGCTTTGGCTCTTCTATACTCTATTTTGCAGCGCGTACAGTATTGTGTATACATTAATACATGCATATAAACAGATAAATATAAAGCTTGACTAAAATACATGTCTACGAAAACAAAAAAGAATTTTTCAGTCGGATGTTACCGACCACATAGTACTCATTCGCGATCAAATTATTTTGGTAGAAGATTGCAGTGAGCTTTTAACCACCGCTAAATAAGAAATCAATGTGTAATGGTTTTGTTAAAATGGATGCAATATACTCATTTCACTTCGTGAATGAGTATTATTATTATGCTGATAGATTAATAGATACAAAATTGCTAGAGGATTTTTTTGTTGTATATATGAAGATATATAAATAAATAAATGGACAGAAAATTAGATAGCGATAATGAGAATCACGTTCAGCAATCCTGCTAGCTATGAAATAGATATCAATAATATTTTAGAAAAGCTAGAAAATTTAAATTAATGTATATATACAAGTATATGAAGACATACATAGGGTAATGTACGCACTTCCTTACTTAAGTCTTATAAATGCCGATGCAGTAATATTTTCTACGGCGTGAATAGGTATGTTAAGAAAAAATCGTATAATAGAAAAAAACAAAGAATATTTAATTATACAAAATTTCGGCTCAAATTTTTTACGACGAGCAACATTATTCTATTCAACTTGCTATCTCTCAAAAGAACAGCTGTTTTAATAAAGACTGAACATTTAGATTTCATAATCGTTCATATCTAGTTAAGTATAGCTCACATTTTGTAGGCTCCTTTCAAGCTTAGATTAGGTGTGAAATTGGAAATTGAAAAAGAAATATATAATTAGAAGCGTTAGCATTACATTTAGTAATATACGGAGCAATAAAAATTGAGCGGTGTCTCATTGCTTCATTTAGCATCGCTCACCTTTGAAACACGAATTTTTTCAGCTGGCTTCAACTTTGGAATTTCTTCATTAATAGATTGTGGATTATTGTTCCCCTCAATATTTTTGCTTTCAATCTGCTGTGTAGGAATATATTTGTAAATCTGTACTTAAAAATACCTTTCATTGTTGGCTTTCATTGAATAACTTACAAGTAGTTTAGTTACTTACAATTATGTTATGTATAATTAAACAGACAATTATATTGGTAATACATATGTATATATCCAGTACATACCTCCAAGGCTTTCCTTTCAACCACAGATGATCGCCGAGACTCTGATATACTTTCTTCAGCCTTATTACATATATATAAAAAACAGGAAAACGAACAAGAAATGAATGGTGGTTGGGTCTGGTTCGGGTTAAGTGCTTGTCTTACTGTTATTGATGACTTCCTAGATAAAACCTCTGTGGCTCCTTCAGAAAGTTCCCCGGTTGTTTTAATTATTGACTTACGACGTACCTCAGACTTTGATTCTTCGTTAATAGATACAACACTGGTCTAATTAATTAATAAAAAAAAGACCAACAACAAAATGACATATAAGGGTATATATAAGCAGCCTGATAAGTGTTCACCCTAAAATAAAAGACTTAAGCTAAAAACAAGTAACAAGATTCAGAGCCTGGAGCTCTTGTGTGAAATATACCCAAGCTAGAAATCAAATTAACAATAATACATATGTGTAATTCATTAAAAAGAAAGTAATAAACCCCTAATCAAAAATGCCTGACTGTTCTTAGTTCGGTTTCAAAAAGCTAATACAACACTTGTTAGCTTATTATAACTCACCTTACGCTCCACTTTCTTCAAACCAATTTGCTCGGCAGGTCCCTGCTATAAATGTAAAAATAAAATTTTAAAAATTAAATTATTGACGTATGTTGTTTATTGATAAAGTTCTCTTACAAAACGAGTAGGCAAGCGATTAGCACTATAGTTAGAACTTTGTTTTAATTGTTTGTGTGAGATTCGGGTAGATTCTTCTTTAGAAAGCATTTGATTCAATTTTTTTTGAGGACCTTACCTCTTTAGTTTCAGGGTGAAGAGCATTATTAGTGCTCGGCTCATGAGATGTATCTGTTTTGAGCTCATTAGTTTTTGGTGTTTCGCCTGTTTTTGTTTTCACATCTGTCTCAGTCTTTTTTTTAATTTGATTCTTTTCTTCTAGACCGCTTTCTTGATTCTCTGTCTGCAGTGTTTCATCAACTTTTTGTTTCTTCTCCAAGTCGTTGGTTTTATCAGCTTGTTGTGGAGGCTTGTCTTCTGCAGGCGTTCCTTTCTTTTTACTTTCTTTTACTTTCGTAGACTTATTTTCCACAGGCTTTCCTTCCTTGTTATCTTCAATATCTTTTGTTGTTTTGTTTTGGTCTTGATTTACTTTCTGCTTTTCAGATTTTTTATAGGATAACTCTTCTGTATCTTTTGGTTTATTGTCCTCCATTTGCACTTCGTCAGTATCCTTAATTTCTTGCTGTTTTTCAGCTTCTGCTCTTATTTTTTTTTCCTCTATGATTTCATCTTTCTTGGCTTCAACTTCGGCCTTTTTATGTGAGGTATTTTGTGTGTAGGGGTTGGTGTGGTGTAAAAGGTTTGTGTGCAATATGTATTTTTGTTGTTAATAACAAGATTTGCAAGGACAAGAAACGAAAATATTAGTTTATGAAAACGTTCATTAGGGGTAGTTAAACTTGTAATAGCTTATAGTTAACAATAAAAATTTATATATACATTCATATAGATCCAGAAATAGAATAGATGAAGATAGATAGAACAGCCAATATCGATTGCAATAAACTTAGGAAAATTTCACCCGAAAATATATAGTTTCGACTAAGACAAGGGGAATATTCTACAAAACCAGTGAAAAGTTGGAGTTGAATTAGAAATTATCCATTAACCCAAAAGAGAGCGAGATAGATAAAGTGAGAGAAATAAAAATAATATAATATTTAGATTCAATATAGAGCAATATTTTGAACCTTATCTCTTAAAGCATGTTTGACGGGCGTCAATTTCACCCCAAAGATATTTGTCTGTTTCGTTGCAGAAACATTTATAGATTGTTCCATTGACTTTGGCGATTCAAGCTTAGGTATCTTGTACATTGTAAAGCCCGGCTGTGATGAATACAATAATAATACATATACATTGTTACTGACGAACGATTATAACTCAATATATAAATATGTATTAAAACGAACTGTATTTTAGAAGTATAGCTATAGGTACCAATGAACTAGAGGTGAGGCACGGCTTTATATGAATAAATAAATCTGTAAATGTAGGTATATATATATACATCTGTATATAATCCATGCATAAAAGAGAAATAATACTTCCAAGAACTTTACTGGATTGGCGAAAATATTTATCAAAAATTTTCTTAAGGCTTGTTGACATTAAATTTAAGCTTTACATATATAAGGAATGTGTAGACGCACTAACCGTTGCGCGAAGAACGGAAGTGGAGAAAGTTTGCCTATCTTGAAATTTCTGGGAAATTGAGCTTCGGAATTAAAGGAAACTTGTAACTCCTTGACATAATATTGCCGTTCCTTAGATATCTGCTCTATAACAATAGATTGCTGCTCTCCTTCTTCTTTCTGGACTTTTAAAGACTTTTCAATTTGTTGATATTGCGCGGTTCGGATGTTAATTTGTACTTCTTGGCCTTTTTTAGCTAGAGTTTTTTCAATTACCTTGAGCTTCTTTTCAGCTTCTTCTTTGTCCTCAGCTTTCTCATCCTTCTTTTTATCCTTCTTTTCTACCGTGATCTTGCAAGTGGACTCATCCTTACCGGCCTCATTTGTCACAACAACTTTATAATTTGATGTGTGCTCCGCTTTGGCACTACTAAATGTTAACCGCGCCGTTGTACCATCAAATGTTGTTGTTATATCCTTTGTCTCGCGTATGAGAGTGCTACTCTTGTACCACTCAACCTTACACTTACGATCTGATTGCGTTAGGCTAATCAGAAGCTCAAAGGTTTTTGATTCAGTGACCTTTTGGTCAACCAGCTTGCGCGCAATCTCGGGCTTGCATGGCTTGCGCTCTTCTTCTGGGATGTCCACAAGATTAACAACCTGGGAGACTGCCTCGCCCTTTTCATTGCTGGCAACCAGTTTATAGGCGCCCTTATCACTATCCTCGACCTCGTTAATCTCGAGCTTGACGGCAAATTCACCATCTTTTGTCTTCTCAACTTGATAAACGTGGCGTTTGCTTTCCCTAACCGTATTGTTTTCCTTATACCAGGTACATTTTGGCTCAAATTTGGAGGCGACTACGCACTCGATGACAACGGTTCGCTTTTTTATTATTTTAATTATCTTGGGCTTGTCTTTTATAACAGGCACAACTGAAAATATATAGTTAGAATTGATTAAGCAAATTGCAATTTTTTTAATTAAAATTCTTTATCAAATAACTTACTTTCAATATTGAGCGTTAAATTAGCGTTCAGTTCACCCAATGCATTCTTAATGTTGCATTTGTACAGACCCGAGTCTTCCAACTGTGGATCAATCAACTCTAGTTTAATATAGTAATGATCGCCACGTGATTCCATGGACATTTTCAGTTTGTTGCTTTCTTTGATAACCTCCCCGTTGCGGAACCACACAATGTCTGGTTTTGGATCGGCCTTCACTTTGCACTCCATGATGACCAGCTTGCCATTATTTTCAGATATAATGCGAGGCTTTTCAACAAATGTTGGACCTTCGCCTTCGGGTTCGGGCTCCGCTTCAATGTTTAAATTGAGATTCGCATTTGATTCGCCATATTCGTTTTTTACATTACATCTGTAAGTTCCCCCATCTGTTGCGCCGGGATCCTAAGAATATATAGGTTGTAAGTACATTTCCTTTTACTATTCAAAAGACAAGTTTTCTTGGGATTAAGTGCATTTCTCCTATTATAAATTTTAGCACATTTAATTTTTCGGGTATAGCAACGTTATTATTTTTATACCCTGAACCCATTGAAAATGGGAAATCAGGGTATAATGGTTTTGTT